CTCGGTATTGTCACTTCGGTTTATTTTGTATCTGAGTCTTTAGAGATCTGTTCTCATAGAAAGCAAGGATGCACAGATATGTATAACCAAAAGGGCTGGATCTGCAGCAAAGCTCTGTCAAACTTATAATGTTAAAAGTTTACCTACTACAGAATAGACAAAAATAGCGGACATTGCACTGGATGAATATAAAAATCACTACGCTGAATTGAGGATAAGTAAGAAGTGTCGAATCAGCAAAAAGAAACGAATGGACAATAAAGAATTGCTTGATATATCAATGTGCTTTGATAGGGAGTTAAAACGGGAAGTGCTGTCTGTCATAGACAGCTTGACTGATGAAGAGCCATAGATATTACTAAATTCGTGACCTTGCAAAACAAATGTGCTTTTCTAACGCCGTCAAATCTGAATGATTATAACTGCTCTGCACCCCAAGACAACATCGTCAACATAGTTATATCGAATGTAGTTTTACGGTACGAGAAAACATTTTACATGTAACGAAATTGTGATAGGTGAGTAGTTCGCGCCATGCACAGCGCCACATTCGATACGAAGCAGAGCGGATTTCTGGTTGTTTAACTGTAAAGTGTGTGCGATCAAAAAAATACTTAGGTAACGAGTTGTAAACATTAGCCTTGACTCCGTCCAAAGTAAGTAGGTTGAACTGCGCAGTTCGGTCAAGACTCCCGAAGATAGTTTAACAGTGAAGAACACACCGCCATACTGATCTCCACTTGTTATCCAACACAGACACTATTGAATACACAAGGGATGAGATAGTATAGCAAGAACGAAGCAGCGAGAAAGCACAGCATTTATTGCCCGCCACTACAGTTTATCACAAGCTGCGCGCACGCGCAACTATCGACCATATTTCCTTTCCACCACACAACATACATGGGGAATCACATGTCACCTTCGTGCATCGTTGGCATGCTTCTTTAGGGGGCCCTGGTTGCCTGTATGACCCCGTAGCATTGCTTTCGCAATTCGCATGCTGATAAGCTTGGAGTTGTTCTAAAGCTCTTGAGCTGCTTGATATCTATTGTGTTATCCTTCTTGCGGTTACTCCTGGATGCGTTAAGAAAGGCGTTTCTGTCTGATTTATCAGCAAATTGACACATCCCATTTCTGTACTCATTGGCACATGCCTGTTCCTGTTCGTCGTTCGCGGTCCGCTCTCTACTCGTATTTTTGTGTTGGCGTTGCGCTGTCCGACCTTGTTCATGATGTCCGCCTCCGTTTCGGTCCTTGCTCGTTCTAGTGCCTTTAAGTGTCCTGTGCGATCGCAGCCTTCAGCTCCCCTACATCTGCATCTAGCGTATCGCGCTGAAGTCTACACGTAAACTGATCGATATCCTCAGCCTAAGTAGACCTGAAAATCCGCTGGACTAGTAGCTTTTTGAGGACTTTCAAAGGCACAGCGAACATGCAATTGGCTGATACATATGAGCTTCCTTTTTTGGAAATGGATTTATTCTGACCCATCTCCAGGTGTGGGAGATAATTCCCGTCGTGAGACACTTGTTAAAAATATTAGTCAAGAGCAATGGGGGGAAGGGGTGCACTGCTTCAAAATTACGATTGCTAAGGCATCTGGTATATTAGCTTTACTTCCTTGTGCACATTAATTGAAACAAACTACGATTGTCTCTTTTTCTATGAATATCATGTTTTTAAACATGAAAGATGCCCTTTTGGCATTTATTTTTTTATTTTATTTTGGGAATTGATATTTCATCATTGTTTGTGAATCAGAAGATGTAATAACTGCGCATGTCTAGTCGTTACATCACCCAAGATTGCGTCATACTTTTTATGATTAGTAAGGTTTTTGTTTCAACTTCTTGTTTTTTGTGATTCGGTCATGGTTTGAGATGGACGTGACTCCCAGAAGGCGCATGAAGATCGTGACCTTGCACGAACACACAGACAAGACCTACAGGGACATAGCAAGAATAGTGGGCGTCAGTCCGGCAACCGTCAGCCGTGTGGCCAAAAAGAAAATGGAAACGGGATGCCTTTCGCCAAAACGCAAAGGGAAATGTGGTCCTAAGAGGAAAATCACTGCCAGGGATGACGCTTACCTAATACGGGAAAGTGTTAAAGATCCTCGAAAGACTAGTGACGCATTAAAACGTGATTTGGGGGAGAAAGGAATAGAAATCAGTTCTTCAACGGGATCTGGCCCCGTGCCACACATCAAAAATGGTCAAGACTTTTCTCAATACTAATCAAATAACCATGTTGAACTGGCCTGGGAATTCACCAGATTTAAACCCCATTGAAAATATGTGGTCTATTTGCAAGGAACGCCTTCGTGGCATGGACTGTACGACAAGAGAAACTTATTCAAGCTTTAATTCAAGTTTGGTACAGGACCCAAGATGATCCGTCAGAAAATGTCTTTTTTACTTCTGGAATAGCTCTTCTTTGAAGAACTTCTATATATTGTGGAGAGCGCAGCATGCCCTGGACTGGATGCAAGGCGCCGACGCCGTAATAACTAAAGCACCCCCAAAACATCTGCTTTTGTGGGTGTTTCACAAAGGGGTCAATGTGGGAATCACGAACCTTTTCTCACTCTGACCTCCGAACATACTGACTTCTCTGACCATGAACATAGAAATGGCTTTCATCGCCGAATAGGACTTTTCTCCAATCTTCTTTTGTCCAGTTTTTGTATTTTAGTCCTCATTTGTATCGCTTAACTTTCATTACTTTTGTCAGAAGTTGTTTTTTCACAGGCCGTCTGGCTTTCCGACCAACTTCCAGGAGTCGCCTGCGAACCGTTGAAGAACTGATTTCTATTCCTTTCTCCCCCAAATCACGTTTTAATGCGTCACTAGTCTTTCGAGGATCTTTAACACTTTCCCGTATTAGGTAAGCGTCATCCCTGGCAGTGGTTTTCCTCTTAGGACCACATTTCCCTTTGCGTTTTGGCGAAAGGCATCCCGTTTCCATTTTCTTTTTGACCACACGGCTGACGGTTGCCGGACTGACGCCCACTATTCTTGCTATGTCCCTGTAGGTCTTGTCTGTGTGTTCGTGCAAGGTCACGATCTTCATGCGCCTTCTGGGAGTCACGTCCATCTCAAACAATGACTGAATCACAAAAAACATGAAGTTGAACCAAAAACCTTACTAACCATAAAAAGTATGACGCAATCTTGGGTGATGTAACGACTAGACATGCGCAGTTATTACATCGTCTGATTCACAAACAATGATGAAATATCAATTCCCAAAATAAAATAAAAAAATAAATGCCAAAAGGGCATCTTTCATGTTTAAAAACATGATATTCATAGAAAAAGAGACAATCGTAGTTTGTTTCAATTAATGTGCACAACGATGTATTTGTCTTTAGTAACCTGATTTCTCTGGTAACATCACATAAGTCATCTAGACAGGCTGGTCGTGAGCCAGTGAAGAAGGGTAAAGAAAAGGCGCTTGACGGTGAGGAGCTTATCTCAGCCTTGAGTTTATCCACATCCACTGTTCCAGTACAACTGGTGGTACTTTTACCACGCCCTTGTTTCAGCAGCCTCCGGCAATCAGGACAGCTATGAGTTCCCAGCAGTGTTACAAAATACAATCTGTTCCGCCTTGTTATTTAGGCTTTAATTGCCAACGTTAGGCTCTTGAAGCAAGCGGTTACTTTTGACGTTAAACACTTTTCCATTGGAGTTGTTTCGGCATTGGGGAAAATGTCTGCTCTCAGATAGCTCATTTCCATAGAGCAGCATAGTTGGAAAAAGCAATTAATGTAACGCGTACTTAATTAATATATAAAAACTGCAAAATCAGTTGTAGGAACCCCTGCTTGAATTTGTGCGACAAGCATGTATACAGGTGGCGTATGTTTCAAGACCATTTTCGGTTTAGACACATTTGTGAAGCGTTCATTAGATCAAAAAGGTATTTTTAGTATACTGTCAAATTGAAGATGCCTTCAATATCTAGAAATTTACGCTTACAGTTTGTGACTTCATGTGTTATTCCTGATCGTCTATGCCACCTCATTGTCGTGTCCCTTAGAGTGTTCTAGACATGAATCCGTACTTGTACGATAAACAGATCAAATTTCTGAGTGCACTTGTTTACTTAAATATGTTCTCCCTGATTTCATTATGTTCAAACATCCTAATGTTTTGGATAACTTATCCTTCACGGTCCAAATTAGCCGCTTTCATATGCAGAGACAAGACTTTCCGAAAACACTATACATTTTTTCTAATCCTATCAATGTTAAATAGTTCTCACTGCTTGTCAGATCTTAGCACGTTGTACCGTACCCTTGAAGTTTATTTGTCCACCCAATGGAATTCATATCTTCCTGCATCAGCAACTCTCAGGCTAAGAATTGTGAGAATGTTTCATATTGCTCTTCATTTCGCATTTTACTATGATAATATCCTTCGGTGCATCCGCGGCGCTTGTTTAAGTGTACAAGGTAAACTCAGTCTGGTGCACAAAGCCTAGTCTGAGTTAATCTGGCTGGAATCGTTTTGTGTTCTGTTCCTACGGGATATTCCATAATCATATCCTCATATGAAGGGAACAAATTGGGGCTATTACCGAGGCACGGTATTGAAGCCATTCATTCAGTAGATGAATCGATTCATCACGTAACCGGTTTTATTGCAAGCAAAACCACTTAACGCAATCAGACACTATAGACCCCGTTGAGGTTACGATTAAGCCTGTCATTTTATAGACAGTCCTACTTGAGTGGATGCGCAATGATGCTAAGAGCAAGGGGACGAGTTCTCACGGAACACTTTTAGTTATTGTTAGTCCAGTAGTACCTTGCCTGATGAGATGGCAAAAAGCCGTAATCAGCTCACAAGATCCACAGTCCGATGAAACGGAAATGTACAGCTGACACCAACGCCCATTCTATTTCATCTGATTATATGTGAACACTGCACATCCCTATCGTTGAGGCAATTTATGTACTTCCGTTGAAACACCCACTCTGCAATTTGCAGAACGCATTGAAGGACTCCTCAATCGCTACTGGACCTCCATGCCCTTTACGCTAGTGAGAGAAATGCGATGGATACAAAAGATTGCCGCCGAAGTCGTTCAACAAGGGACAGAATTCGTGAAAATCAAAACACCGAAATATTTTTCAAGTACGTTCGTTAATGCGCTTGCAACCAGAGTGTGAATTCTAAGGGTACTATTGAGTCAAGTCCAAATTAAAGAGTGCTTGTGTTTCAGTCCGCGTGAGACTTTTAAAATATAGGTACTAACTCTTCCAACCTGCATTCCTAGGAACAGATGTTTCGATCGAAACATGCTATTGATGTGTATGAAATATGTTAGTGTATAAACGAAAATTGTGTTGCTCAGTTTCAGTTCACATGGAAAAATTTGAACGCAAACTTTCGGGTTTCCTCAGCCTAAGTATCAACATGAAACTTATGTGATAGCTTCGAAAATCCGCGTGTTTTTGAATTTGGTCGAATCAAACACAACGGTAGCAAAATGCACCAAAAAGCACCACTAGTTCAGAGCTACGAATTATGGTACATCAGACCAGCATGTTCTTTACTACATGAACAAATAATTTAAACAATAATATCATGCCTATTTCGCTTCTTTTTTGTAGTTGTGTTCCTCGTTGGAACATGTCATTTTTGTACGGGTCGTGTCCTACGATAGCATGTGTGTCTGATTGATTTTCCCTATGTACTATTCCGGTAAAATGTGATCCGCTGGTTTATATTGTAGTCAGGATGTGTGCTTGTGCGTTGCTCAACTAGTAGTTTTTCTCATATTACGTCGTAACCAACTACAATAACTTTTGCTAACTCATTGGCGCAACAAACGGTTCTTCCTAATGCAAATGTTTCCCTGAGGTGGCCTGGAGGAAATTGGTCACCAGATTCAACAGGCTAGTTGTCAGCACATCGGAAACCAAAATGCGATGCTTAACAATGATGAATTCGTTCCTAAGGAACAGAACTAGTATTTGCTATACATTGAAGGACTGTGCTTGGCTCGCCCACATAGCCTCTCCGAGCCATACAATTTGGGATGTCCATACAACACAAAAGCACTGCGTCAGAAGTATCCGGGCTGATAATGTAATGTGCCAACAAAACCTAGTGAAAAGTTTACCTTAACCCCAAGCAACGTTGTTGGCACGTCAACAAAATTCTTTTGAACAATCGTATAATTGTACGTTACGGGCGGAAAAACAAATGCTTCACAAGTCCCGTGGGATGGCCAGAATGAGAAGCACAGAATGGTCAAAGGGATAAAATGAAAATCATTTTGGTGGACTCATCAGTGTTTACACAGAGGCATGTAGAAACGAGCCAACAATGATTGTGGAGGTTAGTGTTTGTTGTGCAACGTTCGCCACATTTTATCGTCTGTCGAGATATAAGAGCTGTGTGTTGAAATGTTGGTGAGTTAGGGAAATATCAAAAAGTTTTGTAAACAAAGTAACGTGGGGCGGAAATAACGTAATTTGCAGGGCGTTCCATGAATAGCAGACAAGAAGAGAGTAAAGGTTTCTTCAACATTCCAGCTGACGGTTTTTCCTGGACAACTTGAGCTGGTGGCCAATCAACTTCCTGCTGTGACTGTTGCTGTAGTTGGCGGCAGACGAATTTGAAGTTCCACAGAAGCTGGTAGGTCATTATTAAGTCACTACGTTGACCCTAATCCTGACCGCTGTACAATCTTACGGAAGATGGAAGATGGAACAACAGTTGGCGTGCTTTGCGGTTATTCACTGTGGAGTCTCGAGCGATGCAAGGTCTCGCTTGTACCAGAGCTGTCAGACCTGGATTACGTATTCTACATGAAGCCACACGTACGTGTTAAGCAAATGCAAATAGACAGAGGGATCAAATTGCCCAAATGCCCTCCACAACATGCCAAGGTGTTTGTCCCCAGTCTTTGACGCCTTCTCAGATTGTTCTGAGCAGCCCAGTTCAGCTCGGAATTTATACCCCATGTTTGCACTCCTGGGTGACTACTAGCAAGATATAATCCCCAAGCCTGTATTTGATGTTCGGTTGTTGACGAATGCAAAACATCTTGCACTTAGATGTAATAAACTGATGATGATTGTGGAATGACCACTCAGGTCCAGATCTCTCTGAAGTGCATCAGGATTTCCATGGTCGGAGGTCGGCTGCTTCATCTCGATACCACCAGCAAAAAACAAAAAGCTGATGCAATCAAATGCGTAAGCTCGCAGATGAACACACGAACCAGACCAGGTCCCCGCACTGATCCCTGGGTAACTCCACATTCAATATGAATCGGATCGGAGAGCGCGCTCCGAATTCTAACCTGCAGTTGCCGATTCGGTAGGAAATTCCTGATCCTCCCAATGACTGAATCGCCAACGCCATAGCTTTAGAGCCTGTGAAACAGTCTGGGGGTCTAGACGGTCGAAAGGTTTGGAGAAGCCGAGATAAATAAGGTCGGTGCCTGTCCATTTGTCTTCCGCTTTCGTCCAACTGCTGAGAGCAATCAGCAGGTCGCTAGTGCACAAAGGGTTTTGGAGAAAACCGTGCTGCCCAGAGGATTTGATGTTGTGACCTTCTAGATGGTCTACTCAAGCCTCAGCAATGGTTGCCTCCATCAGCTTTGAGAGTAGACGGAGAAGAACCACTAGGCGATAGTTTGCGGGTTCCGAGCGATTGCTACTGTTGAACATCGACGTTAAAAGACCATGTTTTTACATGGTAACCACAGTTTGCTCGTTTAGAATAAATCGGATAATGGTTCTGCAACGTTGTTGCTTCGATATGCAGTGCCCCAAAGTGAATATCATTGATTGCGAGAGACCTGTGCGTGAGTACTAAGAGCAGTTTCTTCAACACCGATGTGACGTTGAAAGCGCTGCTAATGCGTGCCAAACTTACGGCCACAGATTTAGGAATGTATACATGTACAGTAAACGTAGAGCATTCGCTGCTTATTCAAGGCTCTGTGCCACAGACAATCGCTTTTGGTGAGGTGTTATCGTGCTTCACTTTTCGAGGGATGTTAACATGCTTTGTAGGAGCTTCATGTTTTTGGCGAATTTAGGTGCCCAATGTTATTGGTGAGCCACATTGTCTTTACGGACGTGCTGTATCACGTAGTTGTTCCAGGTTTCGGTACCAGAATGGACTGTGTGAGCTCGTCAAGCCGTATTCCTTATTACTATGCGTTTTCGATTTATTCTTCTGATGAATGACGATGGATTGGTAGAATGAACCCACTTCGTTTTCGAGGCAGTTGCGATCACACTGCTGAAGCATCTAACAAAGTGAATCCAGGCGCTGTCAGCGGAGCATGATTCTCATCGTCATTACACGTTAGCTGCAGGTGGAAAACACATCAGCTATTGTGCCGCAATACAAAAACAAGAAAAGGAAAACAAACAGTGGAGGCCCGCTGAGTCCCCAGTAACGGATGGACATCGTTCCAGAGAGCTAACAGCTGGCTGCCGTAAAAAGGAGTCATATTATGCTTAACAAGTTAGATCGTGATTGGAGGGGGATGCTAAACAGGAGGGTGATGGAAAAAGGAACTCACAACACAAACGCCATTGGGGCCGGCTCCAAGCCATATCAGCAAGTGTGTCCCACCAAACGTGTTCACCGTCCTTGGGACCCCAGCCAGGCAGTCGGGATGCACCAACCGACGCCAACTTCGAAGTGAGGGTTTTCATTTCTCTCGACCAAGCCATCACTTGGCCTCCCCTCCTCCTCTTCCAACCGCACCCACAAAGCGCAAACAATGCACGTCGCGGGAGTCGGTGTGATGGTATGCGCAACAGGTGACCCAGCCGTCGGAGCCTGGTGCGTGATATAATGGTGCTGAGCGGTACACTCGTTCTTCCCGCTCCAAATACTAGATGTCGAAAACGCTCATTTCTCACGCGGTGTTCCCACCAGACATGAGCTAAACTGCGAAGGCAGCGATGATCGAATATGACAAGCCTCTTTATGTCTGTCGACCTGGTGGGCCAGGTTTCACAACCATATATGAGAGTTGAACGGACGGCAGCGTTGTAAACTCTGCCCTTCAGGGCGAGAGTAATGTCGCGTCTGTGCCACAGGTAGCGGAGATTGACAAAAGCACCTCAAGATTTGCTATACGGTTCATAACCTCATCTTCAATCCCACGGGTGCTAATATAGCTGCGCAGATACTTGTGTTCCTGAACGAGTTTTAGCTTATCACCACAAAGTGTTAGCGCAGGGTGGGGCACCTGCCAATCTTGGAGAAATACTTTGAATTTCGACAGAGCCAAGCATATCCAAAAACGATTGACAGCCAGTTCTATTCGGTCCAGTGCTGCTTGGCATGTTTGAGAGCTGTCACAGATTAGGGCAATATCGTCCGCATACTCCAAGTCAAGAAGTCGCTCACCAGGAAGTAGCTCCATACCTTCTAGGTCGTGTCCAGCAAACGCTGTTTCCATGACTTCATCAATAGCGAAGTTAAAGAGGAAAGGTGACGGCCTGCAACCTGGTCTCACACCGTTGGTGATAATGAAGGTTGGCGACAGCTTGCCATAAACTCTCACTCTGCCCGAACTATGCGCATACAGAGCGTTGTGAATGTTTACATATTTATCAGGCACACCTTTCTTCAACAGACAGTCCCAAAATGCACATCGATCAACTGAGTCGAAGGCACCTTTTACGTCAAGAAACACGACAACGGTGGGTCGCCAATAAACATGGCGGTGCTCCAACACTTGACGGAAAGTGAAGGTGTGGTCAATGCAGCCCCGAACTCGACGAAATCCTGCTTGCTCTTCACGAATCTGGCTTTCACGAGTGCCAGTCAGTTTGTGGAGAATGACGGAGGTAGGCAATTTAGAGGCAGTCGAAATCAAACTGATCCCTCTATGATTGCCGCATTCCGAACGGGAGTTTCCCTTGAAAATTGGGACAGGAACGGGGTGGTTCCAGTCTGTTGGGACTGTCTCCTGCTCACAAAGTTTTACTAGAAACTCGTGTAAATCATTTACTAGATCAGGCCCCCGAATTTGAGGAGGTCTGGGGGAATTCTATCTGCCGCTGCGGTCTAATGCAATTTCGACAGCCTGATCTCACGTTAGATTTTTGCGCGTGAGTGCGGATCCGAGGAGACGGTCCAGGGAGAAGCGC